TCCACAAGGTGCCTGGGGGGTTCTCACCCAGGGGCTTGGCCACCCACAAACTCTTCATGGGCTCCAGGTCTTGGACCCTCATACTCTCCCAACCTTTCTAAGCTCACAGAGGTAGCCCAATGTATCTCCAATATTCTTCCACCTAAGGATAAACATAAGGATAAACATAATGACAAAAGGATAAATATAATAGAAACAGGTCACAACAGCAGGGCTACGTGCTCATGGTTTTATGGTGACTCATCTAGGGGAAGCAGGCTGCTGTATTCTCCCCAGCAGCAACTTTAAGTATTATTGCCTCCTTACTTGAACATAGAGAGAGAGGAAAAGAGACTGAGGTTGGGTCAGTGGGGTCTTTTGTAGGCACACCCAGTTCTGACTTAACAGCTAAACAAAAAATCTGCCTTTGACACATGGAAAATGCAAAGGAAACAAACTATAAAATGTTGTTCAATCGTTTTTCAGTCCTGTCAGACTCTTTTGACTCCATTCAGGGGTTTTTTGGGCAAAGATACTGGAGTGGTTTGCCATTTCTTTCTCCAGCTCATTTTACAGTTGAGGAAACTGAGGTAAACAGGATTAAGTGACTTGCCCAGGGTCACACAACTAGTATGTGAGGCCAAATTTGAACTCAGGTCTTCCTGACTCCAGACCCAGCACTCCATCTACTGTGACACCTAATACCTATTAAATTAGACTGTGGAATTTCTCAATAGATATTTATTCATTTGAATTAAATGAAAAGAACATTGTGTTAGCATCTAATCGAGACTTTTCTCCCCAGTGAAATCAGAGGATTAGAAAGAGCAATGAAAAAGGAAGTGTCCATGAAAGAAAGTATGAAGTTTCTGAATAATCATATTTAACATGTATTTATTCAAGAAACTTCTGTGAAAGCACTGCGCTAAGGACTGGGGCTAGAGGGATGAAAATCATCCCAGTCCTTTCTCTCTTAAAGCTGATGATCTAACAAAAAAGGTATCCCATGTACACAAACAACTTAATACAGAGTATGATGGGGGAGGGGAGGAAGGGAAGAGAAGAAGCATTTATTAAGAGCCTTGTTGTTGTTGCTCCATGTGTCAGACCCTTTGTGACCCCATGTGAGATTTTCTTGGCAAAGACACTGGAGTGCTTTGCCATTTCCTTCTCCAGCAGATTAAGGCGAACAGAGATTAAGTGACTTGCCCAGGGTCACACAGCTAGTAAGAATCTGAAGCCAGATTTGAATTCAGGTCGTCCTGAGTCCCGGCCCAGTGCTCTATCCACCGAGCCCGTTAGCTGCCTCTTTATTAAGTGCTTTCAATGTGCTAAGTGCTTTATAAACATTATCTCATTTTATACACACAATCCTGGGAGGTAGGTGCAATTATTTTCTCCATTTTTGCAGTTGAGGAAACTGAGGCAGAGAGCTCTTATGTGACTTGTCAGTGTCATGTAGCTAGTAAGTGAACTCAGGTCTTTCTGAATCCAGGTCCAGCACTCTATCCATTTGGCCACTGGAGATGCTAGAATAATGGGAGCAAAGGAGAGATTTCAGACAGTGTTCTTAGATTGCTGCTCTTTGCCCTTCGTTCTGGAAGAGGACCACGGCATTAGGGGGGTGCTGCCATGACACACAAGTGAATTGGACTGAGTGAGAGAGGGCTGTGCAGTCACCAGCCTCACTTTCCCCTCCAGAGCCATCTGGGTCCAGCAGCCAGATATTCATCAAGATGACTGGAGATGGCCTGGATGCAGTGGGGGACCTTGGCCTTTTCAAGCTAAGGTCGTTAACAGGTCTCAGTTTGACTGAGACAACACCCATTCAGTGATTAAGGTTAGGTACAAAATGAGGCAGAGAGGCACAGCTAGGCGGTGTAGTGGATAGAGCTCTGGCCTTGGAGTCAGGAGGATCTGAGCTCAAATCCAGCTTCAGGTACTTGACACTTGCTAGCTGTGTGACCCTGGGTAAGTCACTTAATTCTATTGCCTAGCCCCCCCCCAAAAAAAAATTTTTTAATGAGGCAAAGAATGGCCTCTTTTAAAAAAAATAGATCTGGGAGGGGTAGACCCTCAGGGTTTCTGGCAAAAACAGAAGCAACTGTTAACTTTCATTCTGAGCCAATCAGGGCCCAAACAGTGACCAAGTTGGGCTTGGTCTGGGACCAAAGTGATTTAGGGTTAAGGCTGGTCTGTAAGAGGAAAAACAAAAGCAAAAAAAAAAGTTTCAAAGATTAAAATTTACATTCCCTTTGGGCAGAACACTGGCAGGTAAGGCGAATGTGGAGAGAGAACAAAGAAAGAAGAGTGAGAGAGAGAGAGAGAGAGACAGAGAGAGAGAGAGAGAGAGAGAGAGAGAGAGAGAGAGAGAGAGAGAGAGAGAGAGAAAGAGAAACAAAGAAAGAAAGTGTACTTAGAAAATGTTAGGAGGAAGAAGACACTTTCAGCTAGGGGGAATCAGGGAAAGCTTCCTGGAGGAAGCCTCATTTGAATTGATCATTGAAGGAAGAGAAAGATTTTTAAAAGCAAGAGATGAGGAAGGAGTGTGACCCAGGCAAGAAAACAGTATGTGCAAATACTTGTGCTTGCGAGATGACAGATCAGGTAAAGGAAATCCCTTGGTGTTCCTATTCTGGCTAGAATGTCAAGTAAAGGATATATGGAATTTGTGTAAGTCAGAAAGAGGTTGTAGAGGGCTTTCAAAACCAAAATGAGGCCTTTGTATTGTCTGTAATAGGTGATGGTTTTTGAGTAAGCCGATACATCAGACCTTTGTGTTAGAAAGCTGCTTTGGGCTGTTGGATGAAGAACAGATGAGATTTGCACAGAACAAGAAAGAAGGGTTGGGTTACATGGAGAGGCAGCTGATGGTACAGTGGATAGAGCACCAGGCCTGGAGTCAGGAAGACCCAAATTCAAATCTAACCTCAGACACGCACTAGCTGTGTGACCTTGAGCAAGTCACTTAACCTCTGCCTCAGTTTTCCCACCTGTAAAATGCAGATAATAATAGCACCTACTTCCCAGGGTTGTTGTGAGGATTAAATAAGGCAGTATTCACAAAACACTTAGCACAGTGCCTGGTAAATAGTAGGCACCATATAAACGTTAGCTCTTATTATTATATGCATCTCTGGAGGGAATATCTTTCATCAATGAGATCATAGGTTCACTAGAGTACTGGGGTGAAGGATGAGTTGAGAGAGGTACTGGGAGACGAGGTAGTAGAGTGGTGAGTGCCCCAAGTAGGTTGTGAGTATAGCACAAGTCCAGGAGAGACACTAGGCAGGTAGGCACCAAGCATTTCATAAGCACGTACCATGAGCCAGGTATGTGCTAAGCGCCGGAGAGACAAATACCGGCAAAGACAAAGCGATGCCTGCCCTCAAGGGACTTACATTCTAATGGAGGAACTAATACCTAAAAGAGAGCTGAAGGGGGGAGAGGGGCCTGCTGGTCGTGGGCAGCAGCATGTGACCAGCTTTGGCCTCACCCCAAAATGGCGCCTCGAGAAGGACCACCAACGAGAGAAAGGGGTCAGCACAGTGGAGGGCAGCTGAGTTATGGTGGCAAAGTCCAGAGAGTCAGAAGCCAGCCTTGGAGAGGAATAAAGATATGAGAAATATTGTGAAGGTAGAACTGCTCAGACCAGGGAACTGATTGGACATGAGAGCAGAAGGAGTTAAAGATGACCCGAAGGTTGCGTTTGAGTTGGCTGGGTAACTGGGAGAATGATGACGACAAAAATATTAATAGGGAAGTTGAGAGAAGTCAACAGTTTTGAGGAAACAGTAGGGGGAGATGACTTCCCTACTCAATCAACGCCAGTGGCTTCCCACTGCCTCTAGGAAATCACCACAATCTCCTGTTTAGTTTTTAAAGCCTTACATGACCTGGCCTCATCCTATCTCTCCAACCTCACTAGATATTATTCCTATTCCTATTCCTCATTGGAGGAAGTGCTGGAGAGACACAAACTGGCCTTCCCTCTGTTCATCATTCATGACACTCCATCTCTGGTCTCTGTGCTTTTGCATTGGCCATTTCAGATGCCTGGGGTGCACTCCCTAATTCCTTCTACCTCAGAGCATCCCTCTCTTCCTTTAAGACTGAACTCGAGGGGGCAGGTAGGTGGCACAGTGGATAGAACACCGGCCTTGAAGTCAGGAAGACCTGAGTTCAAATCTGGCCTCAGACACTTGACACTTGCTAGTTGTGTGACCCTGGGCTAGTCACTTAATCTCATTGCCTAGCCAAAAAAAAAAGACCCACCAAACTCAAGCAGCATCTTCTGCATAAAGCTTTTCCTGATGCCTCCAACTGCTAAGGCCCTCCCCTCCAAACAACCTTCAATTTAATTACTTTGTGTGTATATACATATATCTACATATTTATTCATTTTATTTTTGTGATATATGTATATAGATATAGATACAGATATACTCATAGTTACTGTCTCCCACATTAGAACATAAGTTCCTTACCTGTGGAGATTGTTTCATTCCTTATACTTGTGTTCCCCCAAACCTAGTGTAATACCTGGCCCATAGTAGGTGCTTGATGAATACTTGCTGACCGACTTATTCAGACACTCCTAGATTTGTCTATTGGAGGTCTCTAGACTGTGTTTCTCTATGAATAGGAAAGGCTTCTGTACCACTAATTTTATTATTATCATTTTAATTTCGTTGTCTTTTTCATCTCAGGCAGTTAACATGACAATCATCTCATCTAACAGAAGAGAAAACTGAGGTTCAGGTGGGGGAGATGGTTTGTCCAGGCATGGGCTCTGAATTCTGAGCCCCAGAAAGGCTGGCCAGCAACATCCTCCTTGTTTCAAGGTCAAGGAGCAAAGGGAAAATTCCATCCAGTCTCTGAGCTAAGAAGACCAGGGCTTTGGGCACTCCCAGGCACGTCCACAAGATGGAACTGAGCGCGAGGGAAAAGGCCCCTCTTGTGGGAGAAAAGGGGCCTGTTCTTCAACAGCGTCTGTCTTTCCTGGAGGAGGGACCTGGAGCCCAATCCCAAGTGAGTAAAGAGAACACAAGGAGAGGACATTCTGAGTCTTCACCATGGAAGACTTTCTCAGTCTCTGTGTGGGGGTCCTGCTCTGCCTGGGCCTGCAAATGGCCCACGGGGGCATGGATGCTTGCTACGATGGGCAAGGGCACCCACAGCGTTGTCTGCCTATGTTCGAGAATGCAGCATTTGGCCACCAGGTCCAGGTGACCAACACGTGTGGCACCCCACCCGAAGAATATTGCCTCCAGATGGGGGCCCCTGGAGACACTCAGCTGTGCCACCGCTGTGATGCCAGCGATCCAGACCGCAACCACAATGCCTCCTACCTGACCGACTTCCACAGCCAGGAAGAGAGTACCTGGTGGCAGAGCCAGTCCATGGCCTTTGGGGTCCAGTACCCCAACTCAGTCAACATCACCCTCCAGCTGGGTAAGTCCAATCACAGGCTCCCTCCAATGCCTTCACTTCAGCCCCCTGGCACTCCCTTCTCACTACTTGCCCTATTTCCCTATCCAGTCCTGAGCACCACCGGGCTCTGGGTGCAGAGAAAGTGACAGCAGAAACTTTTCAGACAACACTTGCTAGGGCAAGATTTGGAGAACTGGGTCGGGGTAAAGGATAGGGGAGCGGGTTGAAACCTGGAGGGAAGGTTTCTCTTACATTGAAATAGGGGGAATTTTCCCTTTCTGGCTCCCCCCTCCCTCTCCTTCCATCCCTCCCATGGAAGACAAAGTTGGGCATTTGGCTCGTCAGCACGAACAATAATGATCTTACCCTCTACGCCCACATAGGACAGAAGTCAAAATGAATTTTTTTTTTTACACTGGGGCATAAAGGTTAGAGTGAAGTCTCCTACTTCAGTGTGGGTATGGGAGTTATTTGCAGAGCATTGGTCTAGATGAAATTAAATTTTCTCAGTAATGACTAGCTCTCTTAGCTCACCCCTAAACTGCCTCCACTCAGAATTTATGATGGTACATGGGATATATACGGCGGGATACATTTATATGCATTTGTGTGTGTGTGTCTGGGTAGAGGTGCGGTGGGGGAATGCTGGGCAGGGGTTCTTAATCTTTTTTGCATCATGGACCCCTTTGGCAGTCTATTGAAACCTATGTACCTTTTCTCAGAATAATGTTTTTAAATGCATAAAATAAAATATAGGATTAAATAACAAACCAAATATAATGAAAGACAATTATAAAAGTATTTCTTTTAAAAATTCAAAGATCCCAGGTTAAGAACCTCTGTGCTAAGGAAAGGACTTGATCTTCTGGGAACCAAGTAATTAAAATAATAGCCCATCTGGGTGCTAACTCCCCCTTGCCCCACACCCCTCACACACATTCACCCAGCAATACATCAGGAATCTGTCCTTATTTATTTGAGCCAAGACAGCCTAATCCATTATGGTTGTCGATCTGGCAATTTATCTCAAAGAAAGCTAACGAGGGCTCCCCAGATGGGTCTGGGGTCTCTAGAGGGCCAAGGCTTCCTGGAAGCAGGAGAGATGTAAGTCCTGGACCTGCGGAGGTGGAAAGCTAGGGACAGAGCTACCCAGGGGTAGGACTGGCCAGGGCCCAGCGCTAAGGGGGAGGGAATTTGGAATTTGGGACAGGGAATAGGGATAGGGATGGGGAGGGAAGTGGGGGAAGATGTATTGTTTTCACAGAGATGCTGGTTTGATTAAATGGGTTACATGTGTCTATGACCCTAGGGACTCTTTATGAATGAGGCATGGAGCAAAAGCAATAGTATTTGAATTCCTGGACTCTGCTGCATCACGTATTTAGCCATGGCCCTTCTTGCCATGCTATTTATTCTGCAATATCCTATATTTGACTATTTTACTATATTGTAATTGGCTATATTGTATATTGACTAATTACTATATTGTATATTGACTGTTCTACTATATTGTGGAATATTTTGCCCCATTATAAAAACTTGAAATCTTTGTTTTCCAATGAGTGAGGAAAATTAACACATGCACTTCAAGAAGGTTAAAAATCCCTAAACCTATACTAAAGCAGGATTACAAAGCACAGCCTGGACATGCTATTGCAATACACCATAAGACAGAGTTAGTCTCAGTCCCTGCTATTAAGGAGAAATAGAATGTGGGCTATGTTGGCCTTGAGTGGGTGCCAATAGATTTCAACTTTAGCTAGGAAGAGGTGGGATTGTGTAATATTTGGGGAAAGGGGGGGCCCACTGGTCATCATGTTGATGTCAGAACCCCCCCCCCCACTCTTTGGTCTCACTCCTAAGGATGGGGCTCCATGTGCAAGGTTCAAGGCCAAGGCTGAGTTGAACATAACTAGCAGAGTGAGCTCCTGGCTCATCTTCAGTGTAGAAAGCATGGCAGGGAGATGAGCTTTTGTCCTTTCACCTTGCTTTCTGCCCCAGGGATATGGGGAATTTTTGGAGGAGGAGTGTAAGAGGTCAGAACTGATTAGGGGTCCCCAGGGAGAATGGGGTCAAGGACAGAAGTAAAGGGGGCAGGACAGCCAGAACGGGATGGAGGTCACTGCTTTCCCAGCCCCCTGCAAGCTCATGGACATCTGTTCCAAATCCTCAAGTTATTAGGCCTAGCCTTCCTGTCTGGGATAAAAGGCAGTAGTGTCTGGCCAGCTCCCAGAACCCTCCAATGAAGGGTGAGAGAAGCCTTTGCTTTATGGAGAAGGACTGGCCAGAGCAGGTTCATTCATTCATTCATTTATTCATTCAATATTTGCTGTCTACAAAGTACTTGATATTGAATAAGATGTAAAATTGGACAAAACATGGCCTTGCCCTTAAGGAGCATACAGTGCAGTAGGAAAGGTAAAATAAATGCGCAAATAATCAACATATTAGGTGGTATATGATTAATGACTTAAGAGAGGTGTGAACAAAGCGCCATATGAGCTGGGGGTGACAAGATCACTTCCATAGTGGGGATCAGGAGGGAAGACTTCATGGAGGGGATGACATTTCAGCTAGGTCTTGAAGAATGCTTAAATAGTTCTTGGTTCAGAGGCGTGTGATACGAGAATATTCAGGGGTTTAGAGTACGAGCAAAGACACAGACGGGAAAGCACATGGCTTTGTCAGGCAATGGGAAGTAAATCCTTTTGGCACAAGCTTAGGGTCCTATATGTATTGGGGAGTTGATTCAGAGAATCAGAGCTGGAAGGGACCTTAGGCCATCTAATCCAAGCCCCTTACTTTATAGAAAAGGAAACTGAGGCCCCAAGAGATTAAATAACATGCCCAGAGGTAATGAGTTAATGACAGACTTGATATTTGAACTCACATCTTCTAATGCTCTAGATAGCACATTATTCCATCTGCCTCCACAGGAAATCAGACTAGAAAGTCTGGGGACAGATTGTGGGAGGCCTTGAATGCCAGACTGAAGAGTTTGAATTTTATTAGGTAGGCAAAGGATAGCTTCTGTGCTATAGAGTGTGTGTGTGTGTGTGTGTGTGTGTGTGTGCGCGTGCTGGGAGATCCTGATCAAAGTTATGTTTTAGGACTGTTAATTTGGCAACCAATACAGGATGACTTGCAGACAGGAAGGCCAGAAATAGAAAGGTGAATTAGGAGGTTATTGTAATAGTCCTTGTGAAAGGTAATGAGGGCCTGGATTTATAGTGGCCATGGGAATAGAAAGGAAGAAAGAGAAATATTGCAAAGCTAGAATGACAGGATGAAGAAATTGATTGCCTGTGAAGGAGGAAAGGGAAGGAGAAGCATGGGTGAATGGGGATACCATTGAGAAAAATAGGTTGGACCATCATGGAGTTCCCAGAGGACTGTATCTTGGATGTCTCGTTTTTGGAGAAAGGAGATCTGAGGTCTAGTAACTAATTCATTAGGTAAATAATTTAATGTCTCAGGGCCTCAGTTTCCTCACCTACAAAATGGGGACGATGATAGAATCACAAAATCATAGCAAAATAGAATCCCAAAATCTCACAAAATCTCAAGCTGAAGAAAACCTCAGGAGCCATCCGGTCCACCCCATATCTGAACACAAATCCCCTCGACATCAGCTCTCACAAATGTTTGAAAACTTGTCATTTAAGGGAGCCCACCTCCCAAGTCAGTCCATTCCCATTTTGGATAACTATCATTAATTGGTATCCTTGATTCAAGTCTCTCTCCACTCCAAGCCATCCTGCACACCACTCCCAAAGTGATTTTCCTGAAGTATAGGTCAGACCATGTTACCACCCATTACTCAATAAATCCCAGGGTCTCCTATTACATCGAAGATCAAATCTAAACCACTCTGTTGGTGCTTAAGGCTCTTTGCATCCTGCCCCTTTCCTCTCTTTCCAGAACCCTCACACATGACACCCCTCCATGAGCTCAATGGACTAGCCATGCTCTATTTGCTATTTCTCACACCTAACGCTCTCCTGTCTTCATGGGTTTGCACTGGCAGTGCCCCATACCTGGAATACTTTCCTTCTTCATTTTCTCCTCTAGAATCCCTGGTTTCCTTCAAGATTCAGCTCAAATCCCACCTTCTAGAGGGAAGGCTTTCCCTGTCTTTCTCCTGCCAGTGCCTTCCTTTCAAAGGTTGCCTTGTGTTGGGGGCGGCTAGGCGGCACAGTGGATAGAGCACCAGCCCTGGAGTCAGGAGGACCTGAGTTCAAATATGGCCTCAGACACTTGACACTTACTAGCTGTGACCATGAGCAAGTCACTTAACCCCACTGCCTAGCCAAAAAAAAAAAAAAAGAACTCAAAGGTTACCTTGTGTCTATTCTGTATGTTGGGCAGCTAGGTGGCTCAGTGGATAGAGCATTGGGCCTGAAGTCAGGAAGACTCCTCTTCCTGAGTTCAAATCTGGCCTCAGATGCTTCCCAGCTGTATGACTCTGGGCAAGTCACTTAACCTTGTTTACCTCAGTTTCCTCATCTGTAAAATGAGCTGGAGAAGGAAATGGCAAACCATTCCAGTATCTTTGCCAAGAAAACCCCAAATGGGGTCATGAAGAGTCAGACATGACTGAAAACAGCAACAGCCAAATGCCCTAGATTCCAAAGGGAAATGAACCCTACGCATCTCCACTAAATGGCCCCCTGCTCCATCTGTCGGCCTTATTGGTTTGGGTGTTACCGTCCAAGCTAAATCTGCTAAATCTGTTGTTTTTGCTCACTCTGACCTTAGAGTGCCCTGGAATCACGCAGTCATGGGCCCACAGACCAAGAGTTGCAAGGGATCTTAGGCTCCATTTAGTTTTAATCACCCATGTTTTACAGATGAGGAAAATGAGTCCCAGAAAAGTTAAGTGACTTGCTCAAGGTCCAAACTGACAAGGCAAGAGATTAAACTCAGGTCCTCTGACTTCAGAACCAGTCCATCTCCACTGAAACCTCTGAAAAAGTGGCTGACTTCCAGGCAGAGGCCTGTTCCTCACCCTCCACCCTCCA